TAGTGACTGTAAAATACGTTCACATTTGCGCATTAACGAACTAAAAGCGTTGGTTATGTGACAAAATCTGACATATATTTACTGGGGTTGTGAACGGCTGCTCTAGAGCCAGCAAAATGCAATGAAACTAGTGTTTAGAGAACCTCAACCGAACCCAGGGCGTATGTGTGTATGTGTGTATGTAGTGTGTGTGTGTGTGTGTGTGTGTGTGTGTGTGTGTGTGTGTGTGTGTGTGTGTGTGTGTGTGTGTGTGTGTGTGTGTGTGTGTGTGTGTGTGTGTGGGTTCGACTGAACGCAACGACTACATTATTTAAAGCAATCAAAATCAAATAGATAAATAAACGAATAAATATTAGATATGAGAAGGCTTTGTTTTTTTTTTCTGTGGAAGTAACGAACATGCAAAAAATGTGACGGCAGGAGGTAAAGAAAGGAGAAGAAATATTGATACAAGAGTCAGAACGATTTTTTTCGCGCTTATTAAACAGACACATAAATTCTTCTTTTCTTCAGTTTCTCATTCTTTCCTTTCACTTTACTTTTCTTTGTCTTCTTTTTCTTCTTCTTATATTTTCTTCTTTTACTTCTTTCTTCTTTTGATTTTCGTTCTCTTCCTTTTTTTCTAAATTTTCTCTTAACTTCCCCTATCAGATTAGGTAGCAAAGAGTAACTAAGTGTTGCGCAACAGATTCTGGAGGCAGGAGGCAGACCTCAGGACTCGCATGGCCGGTCGCTTGACAAAGTTAACATGCATGAACCCCAAAGTGGCATAGGTAGTTCAGATAATCATAGCGCTTCACATGATATGCGTAAGATGTGTCAGTGACTGTGTTTCGACACATGGATATACACAAACATACACACATATGGATGTATGAAAAAAAAATCACTTGTAAAAATGTCACCGAAAATAATAATTATATATTTTGAAAGAGCGGCTTTCCTGCCTGTGTTAGTAGAAAAATATTCAGGGAGTGGTTATAATGAGAATGCAATATTCAGCCTGTCCTGTGGATTGACTCATTGCCGCTACTGCCTTTGAAATGTTCAGGAAGGTATGTAATAATAATCATCTGAGGGAAGATGTCCACTAGCAACCATGAATCTCTTGTAGTATTTTAAACAAAGACTATATACGTTGATAGTCTTTGATTTTGATGTACCTTACGCAGGCGGTATTGCACATCGGGTGTAGCGTGCAAGAGCTTAGCAAAGTTTCCACTCCGCGCCCAAAATTCAAGCCGGGATTGTGCAATGTTCACGCTTCGAGACGACCCGCGGATAAATAACCATAATAAGTAACGGAATTCCTAATAATATCGCCTAGTTGGCCACTGACATCCGACAATCTGGTGCTAGACGTGGGTTCCTCTGGAGATCGCTGGCCTGCTAAAAATTGGTTTACCTAACGTGTGCCCAAGACTTTGCGGTTGGTAGAAAGCGCATCGGCCAGCTCTGAAGGGGTGCCAATCGTACTGTTAATTAGCAATCATAATCTAGTCTATATATACGACCGGTTTGTTAAAATTGTGCCAGGCCCAACCCAAAGCATATTCGTATACTTGATATGCATAAATAAAGAAATAAATGCATATTTATCAGTCTAGACGTGCATGTCAACCGAGCAAATAGTTAGATAAATGTATATCCATCAGATAGATAGATAGATAGGCATTTATTTCTATGTTTATGCACGTCTGTATTTATGAAAATTCATAGGGTCGGGCCTCGCACAAGATAAACAAACCGGCCGTTGTCACTCCAGTCGGACGGTTAAACTTCTGCGTGAATGCATATGATTTCTCTATTTACAATTTCCTTCAAGACAAATGATCTGAAATTTGCCTGAAATTTCTAAACATAAACTTTCAAGATGTCATTATTACCGATTTCGTGGAAAGTGCCATCTCTAAGTGACGTTTGTATTGGTGAAAACATTTTGCCAGTGGCAGTTTTACAAGTGATATCGTTGCTGGTTATCTACATGTATATATGTGTGTGTGTGTGTGTGTGTGTGTGTGTGTGTGTGTGTGTGTGTGTGTGTGTGTGTGTGTGTGTGTGTGTGTGTGTGTGTGTGCGTGTGCGTGTGCGTGTGCGTGTGCGTGTGCGTGTGTGTGTAAGTAGCCCTATGAACAATGCTGCGGACCCCAATTTGAAGAAAAAACAAATACTGCAGAACACAGAACACCTAATCGTCAGACAACTACATGTTCATGATAATTATTCAAGCAATTACCTCTTATGTTTCCTTCCCTAAACTTTCCTTCGCCTACCAAGTTTAAACCTAATACTCTGTAGGCAAAGAACAGAACAAGAAATAACCGGAGAACATAGAAAATTACGTAAAGGAGAAGGGGAAAGCGTTCGATCAGTTCCGTCGAAAGAGTACAGAGCACCGCAGTGGAAGAGTGACCAGGACGTGGCCCAGTACTCTCTGTAACAACCGGTCAGTCACGCAACACACGGGACGACACCGTATAAAACGACCGGAATAAAATAG